AAAACAAAAACAAAAAAAAAAAAAAAAAAAAAAAAAAAAAAAAATACTACAAAGCATCAATAAATAAACTACCACACTTACATAAAATATAACTGGAGTTTATTAAATGAGGCTTTAGAATTCAACTCTGTTAAAATAGTCATGAAAATCTCACAATCCTATTTCTCAGCACTAGAGACAAGAAAACAGATGAGGTGTGTGTGTGTTGGGGGGGACCGAAGAGAAAGAATTTCACCCTGAGTGACATGGCAAGTGATCAGGAAATGAACAAACAGACTAAATTAAGAAGTTAGTAGCCTACTGATTTCTAAGTACTTGACCACACTATCAGAATCATTCTCTCAAAAAGAATGGATTAATTTAAAAGTTAAGGAGTACAATCTGCAAAATTATCTCATTTGCTTCACTAGGTGAAAATGATTACAAAAGGATGGAAATGAACTATCAAAAAAACTTCACAAGAAAATTAAACATAACAGACTGAGAATGAAAAGTACCCTCTGAAGGGAAATCAATGGGAAGCAGTAACAGATGCTTCCAGCTTTCTGGAAAATGTGTATTTGCAAGCAGATGTATTTCTATACCTCCCACATTCAATTTAAAGGCATCTTAAATAGTATATATAATTAAAGACAATTAAGGTATATATTTTGCAAATTCATCCAGTAACTAGAACTTGATCTGAAGTCATAAAGAACTGACTACCTCTGGTGCTGTGGTTCCTGTAACATTTTTAGTAGAGAAAATAACTGAAGCTAATGAACTTCAGAACACTTTGGCATGTCCATGTGCTGGAATAAAGAACAGTTTTTCACTTTGGCAATTACCAGAATTCCTTATTAGGAACAGCCATTTTCTATCAGAAGAAACAATCTTGAAAAAAAATGAGAGACAGGAGAGGGAAAAGAGGAGCTGGGAGAATTCTGCTTGGGGGAAACAGCCCAGGAACAGAACCAACAACACCCAGACGAGCTGTGCTGATAGACACAGGAAAAAAGATGTGGTGTGCAGGTTACTGTGCACAGCAAATTTATGAAGATGTGTCCACAGGGTTTCGGGGAATGTGAAACACAACTTCCTTGACCTCCCGTATGAATCTAATGTAAACCTGATTCATAAGCTTTTTTGAGTAAATAAATATTTTTTCTTGTAAATCTGAAACATCCCAAAACGTACTCCTCTTCTGTTTGCTATACCTTTTTCAAAATTGGGAGTGAGGGTGGAGGGAGGCTACTATATCCTCCATCTACAAATCTCACTTCTAAATAACTTTCTTTAAAAAAGTGCAAATGCACGTTTATTTTAAGCCTTTCCTCGTGGCTTTTGAATGTTTCTTACAAAACATAAAAATTTCCAAAATAGGAAAAAAAGGATAGAGTGACAGAATGCAAGCCATTGGAATACTGCATCTTTGCACATAATTTTGGATGCATAATTAGAAATTTAACTGCTTAGATTATATTAAGGATTGCACCACTACATTTTTACAAGGTTCATTAGCCAAATTATACACTTACTTAAAACAAACTCAGTCACACACATTAACATTTTTAATTCTAAGTATAAATTACAACCAATGATTAAACTGAAAATAAGTAAAGGATGTTTTATTGACATCTAAATTGGCTGAGCAAGTCTGAGTTTTGCTTTGATAATGCAAATTCCCACAACTACCACCCAGCTGTATGGAAATGATCATAATTCATCTTAATAAAACCGACACAGTATAAACACCACAACTGTAGTGAAGTCAGAGTAGGAATGGACAGAACACATCCCATCAACAGACCCTCTGACCTCACCGAGTGCGAAACACGAGGGTCGGCAGCTACCCACAGTGGTCCCCTAAGAGCCACAGCCACTGTCTTAGCTGACACAGAAAGGAGCTCAAAGGAATTCCAAGTTAAAATAGTATCTTGATTTCTTTTAAATTTTAATAAATGAGATAAAATTGATCCAAGAAAAGAGTAAATAAAAA